CTTTTCAATGGGTGCCCTTTTCACCAAAAAAAAAAAATTAAAACTTAAACTAAATAACATATGGCCCAATAGGAAAGAAATTTTCACCAATTAATCCTTTTGTTTTCCCTTTCAAAAAAGTGAAATTGAATTCAAAATTTTTAACAATGAAAAAAAAAATTTGTGTTTAAGCCACAATAATTCATAACTTTCATCTATTTAGGTCATAACACAACCAAATTGGTTCATAATAAAAATACCACAAAACCCTATTTTTGGTGTACGCAAATGTTTTAAAAACAAAAATAAACATGTTTGGTGAGTTACCAACAATGGAGTGCAGATCGATGTAGTGATTGATGTTGGAGATGACTGAAGGTAGCCAAAATATCGTCAAAGGTTAAAAGGTAGCTAGAGGGCCGCTGGAAGGTGGTTGGAGATCATGGGTGGTGATCGTCTGATCTCTGAAGCCGGCGTGAGAGTCATTAGTTGGTGGCTAGTCAATGATGACTAGTGACTAGTGACTAGTGGAGGCAGTAGGTGGTGACTAGAGGTGATAGAGGAAGAATAAGAGAACGAACTTTGTTTTGAAAACTTGTGAAAACATCTTTTTCCATATCCAAAAATTTTAAAACTTTGAAATCAATTCCATTTTTTAAAAAACTAAAATAATATATCAAACAAATTTTCAATTCCAGTTTTCAAAAAATAAAATAAAAAACATTATCAAATAAGACCTTAGTTAATGGAAAGCGGTTTTGGTTATCACCTAAAGTGGTCAATGCAATGTTCTGAAACTCTGACCATTTAGTGAACTGAAAAAGGGACTAGATCAAGTATCAGTGGTTCAACTATCAATCGGAATCCAATCGTAATATCATAATTACATTATAAACATATTAATAACTATGTATAAATAAAATAGAACTTTTAAAATTACAAACATATATTATTAATTTATTTTTAATTTAAGATTTAAAATATAAATAAATTTTTGTAATATACATTTTAAAATTTATTTCTTCAAAAATCTCACCCCACTGCTTCATCCCTTGCACGAACTCTATCTTAGCATACTTGACCAAATGCGGAATAATAATGCAAAAAGTTGATGCTTCCCATATAATAAAAATCTGACATAATGTATAAAATCTATGCTTCTTAGCATAATAATTGATAATAATACCTCCATATCCAGCATGATAATGCATAACAAGAACAAGTAGGCTACTAATTTTATGGACATCTCAATTTTAGGTTTCCTATGCTACATAGTCTCTAGCTTAAGCGAAATGTCATTTAGTTCCTTAAGTGGTTATAGTTTTACGAAATGTGGTGTTGATTATTACCCAAAGTGGTCCATTGGTGTAAGGGCAAAGAAAAATCACGTACTTGTTGATAAAAAAATCCAACGAAGAAGATGATTAGTACCACCACGCAATCGTTTTGCAAGACAAAAACCCCCAGCTGTAGCCAGGGGCCCTCCGATGCTCAAGTCAGTCCTCCAATATTATTGAATTATTTAATGGACTAATTCATAGAGAGAAATTGCGTACCTCAACCCCATGAATGTATTGCTTATTTATAATACCCAGTGACTTACTTAGCAAGTAGTTTAAATGATCCAGAAGTCATATCCTAAACAATCTTCAGTTGTTCAGGACTTTTATATCGATAAGATTTCATATCCTGATGAGTTTTGCACAACATAAAACACTAATGTTATGTTTGATAAGAATTTGATAACTGTCATACGCATGATAATTTATAATTACGCCACGTGGCAGTGACGGGACCCACATAATTCCTTTAGTTATTTTTATTCCCTCTCAATTGTCCCTAAGCTTTCATTCTCTTTAAACCTAGTGAAAGAATGGAAGCTTTTTGTTGTTTTGATAAAAATAGTCGTGTAATAATGCCTAGCTAAAACCATATATGGGTGCTAGGGCTTATTCCAAAATGCATAACTTTATTAGGACTTATTCCGAAAATGCCTAGCCTTGCTACGACTTATTCCAAGAATGCCTAACCTCGTTAGGACTTATTCCGAAAATGCCTTGTTAGGACTTATTCCAAGAATACCTAACATCGTTAGGATTTATTCCAAAAATGCATAACCTTGTTAGAACTTATTCTGAAAATGCCTAGCCTTGCTAGGACTTATTTCAAGAATGCCTAACCTCGTTAGGACTTATTCCGAAAATGCCTTGTTAGGACTTATTCTAAGAATACCTAACCTCGTTAGGATTTATTTTGAAAATTCATAACCTTGTTAGGATTCATTCTGAAAATGCCTAGCCTTGCTAGGGCTTATTTCAAGAATGCCTAACCTCGTTAGGACTTATTCCGAAAATGCCTTGTTAGGACTTATTCCAAGAATACCTAACCTCGTTAGGATTTATTCCGAAAATGCATAACCTTGTTAGGACTTATTCGAAGAATGCCTAATCTTGTTAGGAACTACCAAAACACCAACTTGCTTATTGGCAAGTAAAACTTGCTCAACAAGGAATCCCATTGTTGGACAAACCACCAACCTACTCTGTAAAACTTTTCAAAGTTGGTCAAACCTGCCAACCCACTTTGCTGAGCAAAACCACTTGACAAAGATTTTTCAAGTTGGTCAAACCTGCCAACCTACTTTGCTGAGCAAAACTTGCTTGACAAAGATTTTCAAAGTTTGTCAAACCTGCCAACCTACTTCGCCAAGCAAAACCCGCTTGACAAAGATTTTTCAAGTTGGTCAAACCTACCAACCCAATTTAGTCAAAAAAGATTTTCAAAATTAGTCAAACCTGCCAATCTACTTCACCAAGCAAAACTCATTCGACAAAGATTTTTCAAATTAGTCAAACCTGCCAACCTACTTTGTTTGACAAAGATTTTCAAAATTGGTCAAATCTGCCAATCTACTTCACCAAGCAAAACCCGCTCAATAAAAATTTTTCAAGTTGGTCAAACATGCCAACCTACTTTGCTCAACAAAGATTTTCAAAATTGGTCAAACTTGCCAATCTACTTCACCAAGCAAGACCCGCTCGACAAAGATTTTTCAAGTTGGTCAAACCTGCCAACTTATCTCTTACCCAAACCAGCTTGGCAAAGAGATAAAATTTGTAACCAAAGGGAAGCATAATTCACATTGCCTCCATGATCCATAAAGCACGAACTCTATCTTAGCATACTTGACCAAATGCGGAATAATAATGCAAAAAGTTGATGCTTCCCATATAATAAAAATCTGACATAATGTATAAAATCTATGCTTCTTAGCATAATAATTGATAATAATACCTCCATATCCAGCATGATAATGCATAAAATCCATACGCTATAGATAATAAAATTCCGATATAATGCATAAGATCTATGCTCCACATATAATAAAAATCTGACATATTGTATAAAATCTATGCTTCGTAGCATAATAATTGATAATAATACCTCCATGTTCAGCATGATAATGCATAAAATCCATACGCCGTAGATAATAAAAATCCTATATAACTGATCTTTCATATCTCCATGATCGGAATAATAGTATATAAATTCCGTGTACTGTTTGTCATTGCAAGATTTTGTCCATATCGATTTATGTTGAGCCTAACACATGGGTTATAAATTTGAATTCAATATTCTATTAATTTCTTGAAATTGATCACATGGACTCCTCTTAGGACCTTATTCCAAGTGCAAGTATAGAAAAGTTGCATAACCAATTTAAGTTGCAACTTATCTGTTCGTCTTTTGTGAAGCTAATAATTGCAAATTCATAGGGCTTCGTTCCAGTCTTTTCTACTCAGAGAGGATGACTTCCGTCTTGAATTAGAGTACCAAGCTAGGTGTTCGAGTTGCTGATCTTCCAATCTTGTTGCATTTGTGCTTGTACATTTAGTTAATGGTATTATTGAAGAAAGAACCCTATCGTGCTCCAATAATATGATGTGATTGGCACACCGCAGTGGATCGCTATACATATAGCTAAAAAAAATTGCTTTATCTACAATACATTATTCAAAGGGCTCCACCTAATAAATCTTGATGCACGCCAACACCAATGCAAAAACATTACACCTGTTTTGTTTTTGATGATCTTAGCGTCGGATCACGTAAGTGGAATCACGAATTGCATGATCATTGTGAATGGTTCAATCTTCTTCATTGAATTATTTCATTCCCACAGATGGCGCCAATTGTACAGGCCAAGAAAAACCACGTACTTGTTGATAAAGAAAACCAACAAAGAAGATAATCAGTACCACCACGTGATCGCTGTGCAAGACAAAAACCCCAACTGTAGCCGGGGGCCCTTCGACGCCCAAGTCAGTCCTCCAATATTATCGAATTATTTAATGGATTAATTCACACAGAGAAATTGCGTACCTTAACCCCACGAGGGTGTTGCCTATTTATAATACCCAAGACTTACTTAGTAAGTAGTTTAAATGTTCCAGAAGTCATATCCTAAACAATTTTCGATTGTTCAGGACTTCTATATCGATAAGATTTCATATCCTGATAAGTTTTGCACAACATAAAACACTAATACTACTGTGTTTTATAAGAATTTGATGACTGTCATACGCATGATAATTTATAATTATGCCACGTGGCAGTGGCGGGACCTACATAATTCTTGTAGTTATTGTTATTCCCTCTCAATTGGTGTTGATTGTATCCCAACCCTTATCCGGGAATGAATTCCTACTTTTTATAACATTCAAGAATAGTTTCTAAAAGTTAATTAATTTTGAAGTTTCTGGATTACCAAAACTCCAGTTGATAATCATCACACAATGCAAACACTAAAACAGAGACCATAGCAGAACCATTGCTATGCAATATGAGACAAGCAAATTTCAAAATTATTCACATAATGCAAACATTAAAACAAAAATAATCAATAATTTCTGAGACCAAAGCGTTGTGACTGACTAACTTTTTCTTCTTTTTTTTTTGACTGAGCCTTTATTACTGTGAAATGGCAACTTTCTTTTTTCCTATTCTCATCTTTCCAATTGTTAACAAAAAATAAAAACAATAGTTTAAACTAGAGTAATGCATCCTTACAGCATAATATGGATTGTTTAAATTTACAATTACACCCTGGAATAGAAGCAAATAATCAAAAAAAAAAAAAATGAGAGAGAAAGAGGACAAGATCCAACATTAATAGTCAACCAGTAGCATGCCTTGTTGTGATCAATTCCCTGAACTCATCATCAGTAGTCTTAAGCATTTGTGGCAAAGGAACTTTCACCCCACTCTGCACAAGCTCCATGTGCCTAGGCTTTATTCTCTTCTCCAAACTAAAAGCAAAGTACTGTGGAAATTCCTTCAACTCCTCTAACCTACCCTCCATCTCATTCTCATAATACTCATACTTTGGCTTGAAATTGTTCTCCACACTGAAAGTAAACAACCCTGGGCACCTCAAAACCATCCCCACTGCTTCATCCCTTGACAGCCCCAAGCTCACCAAGTATTCCAGCTTTGGAATCAATGTCTTCTCCACACTAGACACCAACAACACAGAGTCTTGATGTGCCAAAGCCTCCAAGTCCTTGAACCCAAGTCTCTGTAGATAAAACAAAGCTGGTTTGAGCTGGTTCCTCACACTACAAGCCAGCAATCTTGGGCACTTGTTGATGACCCTTCTAAAATTGTGGTCTGGGACTCTAAGGTCATGAGAGAGGAAATTGAAAACTGGGTTGAGTTGGGTTTTAATGTTGGAGGTGAGGATTTGAGGGCACATGCCAAAAATCCTAGGCAAGTCCTTTTGGTGGATGCCTTTGGTTTGGAGGAAGAAAATGATTGAGTGAATGGAATGCAAGGAGGTAGTGTGGAGAGAAGGGTTAAGGGAGAGTGCTTTACCTGAATCAACACCCATGATCTCTAGGAATAGGATCTTCTCTTTGAATTGGAGGGAGAGGTTTGAATGAGTTTGTAGATAGAGTGGGTGTTTCTCAAGAATGCTTTTGGTGGGTTTTGCTGCTAATAAGTCTACTGTGTTTGTTGGTTGGGAATTTGAGGGTGGTGGTTGGGCTGATGGGTGCTGAGAAGAGAAGCACAATGAACAATTGGCCGCTGCTGCTGCTCCTACTACTGCTAGTGCAGGCATGGTTGAGAAAGAGAGAGAGAGAGAGAGAGAGAGAGAGAGGGGACTCCTTTTGGCTTTGAGAACCTGATCCTATTCTTCACTTTTATCTGTTTTCTAGCAATTAGCATTGTCTTGACAGGTGGCAGATACTTTATCTTGATTGGCCAAGTCAGGATTCCATAGATTGGTTTGAAGGGCTCTTGGTCAATCCATTTAAATAATATATATATATATAATTAAATAAAATAAAAAATTGAATCAATAGATTACATTTATTTTTGGCTTCAATTAAGTAATCAAATAGTCATTGTACAACCCATTGTTATTTAAACCCAATCTGGAGCTTCAGCTGTTAAATGAATTATTTCTAAAAACATTTTTCTAAAAGCCACCTTTTTTTTTAAGAATTTCAAAATTTTAAAATTATTTTTACATATTTAAAAAAAAAAAAAAAAAAACACACACACACAACAACCAAAACAAAACAAAACAAAAAAACAGAGAGTTTCCTCTACAAACCACTTCATATATACAAAATCCAGACAAAACCACAATTTCCAAACCATTGTAGCAGTAACGACAATTCACCTCACACTTGATCAAATGATTACACCAACCCAAGATCAAGATTCCAAAATAAGCGCACAGCTACATTTGTTTAGCGACACCAATGCCAAAATGTTTCCCCAAAATGTCATCGTCCACTCCAATAGATAATCACAAACCTCGCGCATTCAACTGTGCAAGGCACTTCTCCATTTTGTTTCCCCTTCTGCTGTTAACATCCACATAACCCTAAAAATAAACTGAAAATTCAACTAGATCGATATCTGTAAAGAAATGGTGCTAAGATATTGTCCACTCAAAATCCAAGTAATGCCAACGTATTTCATAATTGACCATTCCATTTAACAAGGAAAGCATATTGCTTGAGCAACACAAAACTAATACCCAATACCATACAAACAAACAAAATACAATACAGCAAGCCTAAGAGCACCAATTCAAATGCGCAGTGATTGAAATTCTGTGAAATGCCACCTATAAATAGTTTCAAAGGAAGCTGATGATCAAGAGGACACAATGCGAACACCTGTAAACAGAAACCAGAACAATAGGTCATGACCCAAAAACTACTACTTCCCAAGTAATTATATAAAAGGTAGCAAAGTATTGCCAGTTTGCTGGTAATTCCCCATTCTTTATAATAATAAAATAATAATAATAATAATAAAAAGTTCCCATCGATTTAAGTCAAACTTTATATAAAGGTCATGCATGCTCTCAAGTCATGTTGACATGGTTTTTCTTCCAAAAACCAAAAACGGAGAAATTTTTGGGGGGGATGATATCATAAGCATCTCTCCTGCGTATCACATATATTGACACATGCAGCAAACAAAGTAATTGAATGCAGGGTAACCACCCAAGTAAGCTCTTAGTCCAGGAAAAAGTTAAATCATCCAATCATCTGACAAAACTAATAGTTTGTACAGGAATTTCGGTTTGTCCATTTCGCTGTCTTAAGTGCAAATTTGTTGCCAAGAAAGTCACCAAACTGATTATCACATTGCTCAAAAAAGCGCAGTGCTAATTCCACAAACACATTTGTTGGTTCCATGTTCACTCTCACATTCTTTTCTTTTACTCCCTACACTCATTTTTAGCATTGGAACCGACAAACAAAGTTGTGGCATTACCATTACCGATTCAAAAACAATTACACAATATTCAATTGAAATATGGTAATTGCTATTACTACTGTATACCGACCATCATTTGCTTCCTCTTTTGTTTCATCTCCTGATTTCCAGACAATATCTTTCAAACCAGTGGCGAGGTTCTTGTAGAACTGTAATAAAGAGAGTGCAGTGTTGAGCTTATAAATTATAGTTAACAGGATACAAAAGCAACAAATGTGCACGAAGGGGATTCCATAACATGGGACAATTGTGCACAAAAATGTAGCAATTTGGTAGAACTTCCAATAAGGACAAGCCACAGAGCCTACAGTTAAAGTTTCTGGAAGCAAAACAGGTGGATGACAAGGATCTGCCACCGTCCAATAGAAAATCACTTGCTTTTGCTAATTGTAAAATCCAAGAAATTTTAGGCAGAGCTTCATTAGGTGCCATTAGCATGAATAGTAGGGTGCATAAAACCAATAAATAAACAATTGCATAAGCATTAAAACCAAGTGTACATGTGTAACCATTGCAATGAGATTTCAGAACCATACCTTATGAAATTCTAAGGTGTCCCCTCTAGCCTTGCGAAGCTCAACCATGCAAAGTGAGGGAGCCACCTCATAAATCTGTAGGACATTATTTTCAGACCTTAGACACTGCTTCACATGATAGTCTAGTGATTTTTCAGTCAACAGGGGACCCCTGAAAGAACATACCTCTGTTGCAACAGATAAATGACCCTTGCGCCCAGTTTTCTCCCCTTGGAGCTTCAGCTGAGATTGATAACAAACAGGCATTTTTAGAAGTGGGAGAACAGTTAAAACTTGATCAAAAGTGTTGGGAGTTCATAATTTAGTCTTGTCTCATTACAACCAAAATACATCACCATCACCATCACCATCACCATCAGTCAGCAAGCAAACTTGACACACAAGTATATATTACCAAAGTCCACTTCTAACAGCAAGATTCCATTGCTCGCAGATCCAATGTAATTGCAAGCTAGCTAAACAGACCAAGCAAATACAGTAACCAAGTACACATTTTCCTTGGATTTATTCAAATTAATCCAGAAAATTATCTTGCTGATTCAGGAGCTAAATAAAGTAATCGACTTTTAAATTGCTCTAGAAATAACATGCAGGCATAATAATTGCGGACAGAGAGAGACAAAGAAACAGAATGCTCACTGTACCTTGTAATTGTTTTTCTTCACGTCAAAACCCAAAGGCGCAGCAGCTTCCTCAATTTTGGAGATAATCTCATTGGCAGGACATTTCGATGTAAATCTTGTTTCCCGCTTAACAAGCCCCTGGTCATCAGAGCAGATGTCAGCCCTAAGATTCAAGAATATGAACAAGCTTATGCTAATGAACAAGCTCGGGGAAATTAGTCTTTCAACTATTAACTATTAGCAACATACATCATACCAAACCAAACCAAGCCTTAAACCCCATCAAATGCAGTTGGCTTGGCAACATACATCATCAAACAAGTTAAATAACTAAATATCAACTGCTTCATTCATGATATGACATAGGAACTCTGACTTAACTGACAAAAATGCATGGAATGTTCAGATTCTAAAGATCTCTACATCTGATAGCTCGGCTACCAAAACATAACAATCAAAAAGCTATAAGCCTCTTACATACCATTTGCTTTTCAAACAGAGAACTGAGGTTGAGACCCTGAGATTTAGATATAAGCTCAAAAGCGTTCATGGAGACAGGATTCGCAGGTCGTTCTTCCCGCCTTTCCACGACAAGGTTTTGAGTGTCCTGCACATCAAAACGAAAATCACAATTAAAGTCACCCCAATGCCCTATTCCTCAATACTAACCGAAAGGGTAGATGATCAAATGTTTTTTGACTGAAATTATAAACAAGATATAGTTACCCCTGATTCATTGAAAATAGCATCCACATCGTCGAGACTAACATCCTCGTTTTCGAAAACAGAAGGCTTATATCCCTTCTTAAACCACTCATTCTCAATGACCTCGGCAATGGTAATGCGCTGTTTATACAATGAAATAACATTTGCAAATCATGGGTTATAAATGATGTGAGAAATACAGGCTTCTAAACTCAAATGGGGACATGGGATACTCACATTTTTAATGAGATGAATGCACATTTGAGTATAATAAATTAATATATATTTATAGATATATATTACTGCATTTTAACCAAAACAAGAAGAGAAAAGTGTCCGTACTGTCATGGGATTAGGATCCAGGATTCTTTTTACTAGTTTCTTTGCACTTGAGGAAAACCATGGAGGACATGTGAACTCAGCCTTGAATATCTGCAATCATGGAAAGTCCTCATATACTTGCATTTAAACCTTATAAAAAAAAAGTAAACCACATAAGATAGCATAAGGATTGGTTTGGTTTGGTTTTGGTTTTGGTTCTTCCATTACAGTGTTTGTTAGGGATGCAAAACATGATAAATACACCTCGGGCCTAAATAACTGTTATTACTCTTTTGTCATTGCAGCTCTCTGAATGTAACTGAAGAAACCTAACTTTTAAGCTCCAAGAAACACAACTATTTGGATTTAAATTCAAGCAAAATAAATATGTAGCTTCCCAGACCAAACATATTTAGAGCAATTCAAGTTAAGTATCCAGTTAGGTCACTATACCGAATAATTTATAGCAACTTAAGAAAAGATATCCATCAATTTCATCATTGTATACAGGTCCCTTCCTTTAAAATTGTTACTTGCGTTCCATACAAGTATAAGGATTGTTTTGAGAATAGGCTATTTTAGTAATATTCCGACTTTTTGGCTAAAAGATGAGGTGAAAAAAATTAGCATGTTTGATATGTTTTTTTGATTTTTTACGAAAAACTTGCAAAAAGTAGAGAAGAGAGAATCTTTGACTTTTTTATATAGTTCTTCGGCTTTTTTGCTTTTTTAGTGACTTTTTAGCTTTTTGGTTATGATCTAAACTTCCCAAACTTGCCCTAAAAATAAGGCCTCATTTGGCAACTCACTGTTTTAGTCAAAAAGTCCCTAAAAAAATTCAAAAGCTAACAACCTATACCAAAAAATCAAAGATTCCAATTTCTATTTACTTTTTGCACATCTTTTCGTAAAAAACCAAAAAGTCATTACAAACATACTAATTTTTTTACCTCATATTGTAACCAAAAAACCAAAAAGTTATTAAAATAGTCCATTCCCAAACAATGCTTAAGTGTTGGTTATAGACACCCAGGCATTGATACACAACACGTAATTTAGTTCTCTAATTAACTTAGCTTTTTTTGCCAGGCTATGTCCATTCATGTAAAATGATGTCCAACTGGCCAATGCATTTTCAAATTATTTCTCAGAGTTAAGATTAGCTGACGATATGAATGGAACTGGCAGTGATAAACGAAAGTTGACCAGGATGTTTCAACTGAGGGTTTGTTTGGGAAGTGGCTTTTAGGCTAAAATATGAGGTGAAAGTATAGAAAGTGTTTGGGAATAACTTTTTGACTTTTTGCGAAAAAACGTGCAAAAAAGTACAAAGAAGAGGAGGAATCTTTTGACTTTTTCTATATAGATTTTTGGCTTTTTTAGGGTCTTTTTGGCTAAAACATCAACTTCCCAAACGACCTCTGAGTCCTAAAATATTCCAAACTATAAATTTAACTGCACTCAAAGAAACATCACGTAGATGAAAGTAAGAAGTTTTGGTAAATAACAAAAACATGAAAAAAAGAAAGAAAAGAAAAGAAAAACTGTTAATGGGATTGCAACAAAATAACCAAGGGAAAAAAGAAAACCTTTTTGTATAATGCCATAAGGTTGGACTCTTCAAAAGGAAGATAGCCTGCCATAAGGACAAAAAGGATTACACCGCAAGACCACAGATCAGCCTTAGCTCCATCATAGCCTTTATTGTTGATCACCTATAAAAGTGAAGAATCTATGTAAGGAGAAAAAACCTGTAGGTTAGAAAAGAGTACATAAATAAATTGCAGCAAAAGCAGAAAATGTACCTCAGGAGCAACATAATTTGGCGTTCCACAGGTTGTGTGTAGTAGCCCATCTTCCTGAAAGAAAAGCGTTCAGAAGCTCAGGTTTGAAATGTGTAATGAGATAAGTAAAATTGTCGAATGATTGCTACATTATCATCAGGGTTATGTAATTCAGTACTTAGAGGGCCTACACTACAGGCAAAACAGAATGATCTCTGGAGTTATTATTGGATAATTCTCACATAAGATAGAAAATGGTCATACTTACTCTAACTTGCTGAGGTAGAGCACTTAATCCAAAATCTGAAACTTTAAGAACTTCATTTGCATCTAGCAGCAGATTCTCCGGCTGTTAATTATAAAACAGTTTTGAGGTTCAAAAATATACATCTGATTTGTTCACCATCTCTGAGGCTATGTTGACGAAACTCATGGTTGATGAAAATTAATAACTAAATACTGAAAATCAGTGATTTTCTCACCTTCAGGTCTCTATGAAAAACGCCTCTGCTGTGGCAGTAATCCACAGCATTTATGAGCTGCTGAAAATACTTCCTTGCTTCATCTTCTTTCAATCTCCCTTTACTAGCCTAGATCCAATAAATAGCACAAAATTCAACATCGTTGCTCATTGGATAGAACAAGAATGTCATTGACACAACAGCGTAAAAACTGAAGCAGTAACTGTCTTACTATTTTATCAAAGAGTTCACCCCCAGTCACTAATTCCAAAACAATGTATATTTTGGTCTTGCTAGCCATAACCTACAATAGAGTTCTTCAGTCAGTCAAGATATAACAATTCATGATATACAAGTCCCCAGAAGCCATGCTCATCTAAGCACATTCTAACCTCATACATACGAATCACATTTGGGTGTCTGATTAGTTTCATGGTTGAAATTTCACGTTTAATCTGCATAGAAGAAACATATAATAAATACAATGTTACCACAAGTTTAAGAGGTAAAGCACCACTTAGAATTCAATTCAAAACAAAAATAACTATTGTCAAATGAGTGCTTTTACAATGGATGCATGTATATTGTGAGAATATTAGGTTAGGCGGTGTTTCTTTTTCTGAAAGATTGTATAGGTGTATATATATGGCGGTGTTTTAGGTGTATATATATATGGTAGTGTTTCCTTTAGGTTAGGTTTATATATATGACAGTGTTTTAGGTGTATATATAGGGTAGTGTTTCCTTTAGTCTTGGGGTTATGTTTACTATATAATCAGATGTATTCTTTGTATTATGAGACAATTGAATATACAGAAAGGCATTCAGAAATCTTACATGGTGTCAGAGCTATGCAGGATGAGTTGTCTACCTCGCAGAAAACTACTACTTGAGAGCTAATTCCTTTGCCTGCTGGCAAGAACCTAGTTGGTTGCAAATTGGTCTATAAAGTCAAGACTCATTTTGATGGTTTTCTCGAGCGCTACAAAACTAGCCTAGTAGCAAAAGATTTCTCACAGGAGTATAGTATTGATTATGAGGAAACATTTGCCCATGTTGCCAATATGACTACTATCCATACTTTGATATCTGTCGTTGTTGTTCGTCATTGGCCTCTTTATCAGATGAATGGTAAGAATAATTTTCTTAATGGTCATCTCGCTGAGGAGGTTTATATGCGTCCTCCCCCTGATCTTCACCACTCCTTTGGATAGGTTTGTCGTCTTCAGCGTGCTCTATATAGTCTGAAGCAATCTCCTTATGCTTGGCATAATCGCTTTTAGACTGCTGTTACGGAGCTTGGGTTTCATCCTTCTGCCTAAGACTCTACTTTGTTTCTCTTCCACACCTTCGCTGGGTTTGTTGCCTTATTACTGTATGTGGATAATATGATTATTACTAGCTCTGATTCTTCTGCTATCTCTGAGGTCAAGTAGCATCTCTTTCGTACCTTCAAAATGAAGGATTTGGGCCTATTGCGGTACTTTCTTGGTATTGAGGTGACTTCTTTTCCCAAGGGTTACTTTCTGTCTCAAGCCAAATATGCTAATGAAATTATTCACCGTGCTGGTCTTACTGACACTAAGATTGCTGATAATCTCATTGAGCTTAATGTGAAACTTAATACTACTAATGGTGTTCCTCTGCCTGATCTTACTTTATATCGAGAGCTTGTGGGTTGCTTAATCTATTTGACGATTATTCGTCTTGATCTTGCCTATGACATTCATGTGGTTAGTCAGTTCGTTTCTACTCCTCGTTCTGCATATTAGGCTACTTTGGTTCGGATTCTTCACTATCTTCCAAGGATTGTTGTTGTCCTCTACTTCTTCCTTGGCATTTAATGCTAATATTGACACTGATGCTGATGTTGATTGGGTTGGTGATGTTACAGATCGTAAGTCCACTTCTAGTTTTTATATGTTTCTTGACGATTCCTTAATTTCTTGAAAAAACAAGAAACAAACTATTGATGCTCGTTCTGCTACCGAAACTGAGTACCGTACTATGGCTCATGTTACTACTAAAGTTGTCTAGCTTCATTGTCTTCTCTCTACCTTGGGCGTCACTCAGTCTTCTCCGACCTCCCTCTATTGTGATAGCCGTAGTGCTATTCAAATTGCCCATAATATTGTCTTCCATGAGCGAACAAAGCATATTGAGATTGATTGTCACTTTATCTATCAGCATCTGTAGTCTGGCTCTATCTCACTTCCTTTCGGCTCTTCGACTCTTCGGCTCTGCAACTTGTTAACTTTTTTACCAAGACTCACACCACTGCTCGATTTCAGTTTCTTCTTGGCAAACTCTCAGTGTTTTCTGTTACAACACCTTGAATTTAAGCAGGGGTGTGAGAACATTAGGTTAGGCAGTGTTTCCTTTTCTGAGAAATTGTATATATATATATATATGGCAGTGTTTTAGGTATATATATGGTAGTGTTTCTTTGAGGTTAGGTTTATATATATGGCAGTGTTTTAGGTGTATATATATGGCAGTGTTTCCTTTAGTCTTGAAGCTGGGTTTACTATTTAATCAGATGTATTCTTTGTATTATGAGACAATTGAATATATAGAAAGACATTCAGAAATCTTACATTACCAATATAATGCAACACACCACCAAAAGGATTACCAATGAAGCACGGGTACTTCGAAAACGTTGTCGTACTAGTACCGAATACTGATACTCGTACCAATAGAGTTGCATGCATACTGGGTACTCGAAATACATACCGGGTACTTTTTATACATTCTTTGACAGTTAGGTACTCCATGGGTACGGAATTGGTACATCAAGAGTACACCAAGCTATGGGACACTAGTGGAGATATGTTTAATTTATTAGAGAGTTCTGATTTACTTGAAATTGCAATCCTTTATTTGATGTATCAAAGATGAAAGATGTATTAGTCAATGATGAAATTGATGGAAGTGAAAACTGAAATTTAAGTTTTCAAATTTCACTTAGCTTGCTTTGGAATGAAACTTTATTTTGTAATTTCTTCTATTTAACAGCATTAAAATAGCTTATAGACTTTGTTTTGATATTGGTATTGTTGAATTATGATTTCTCTTTTGGTTTTGTAATTTCTCCTTTTAGTTTTGGTATTGAACTTTGATTTGTAAATTGAATCTCAAACTATAAATTACAAAAAATAAAAAATTTATTGACGTACCTGTTACGACCCGGACATGCGTTTCCTTAAGTATTCATTTAATTGCAATGTTATGTGCTAAATGATTTTGTGTCTGTTGTGAAATTGCATGTTTAATGATGTAAGATATAAGAATTTGAATTTATATCTATTGTTCGTAGGAAGACCTGTTGAAATCATAACTTTAAACTGAAATTGGGGGCCGTAGAGGCGCCAAAAACCAAAACTGAGGAAATATTGGTGATTAGCATGATTTTTAGGACTTACTGAGAAGTTTTGTAAAAATTTGATTCAAAATGAATTAATTGGATTTAATTAATATTATATATATACCTATATAAGCTCTAGTTGAGCCTTAGCCTCAAACAAAAAAAATCTGGGGAGAGAGAGAGAGAGATTGAGAGAGTTCTAGAGACTAAGAGAAGGAAAAGAAGAGAAAGAAGAAGAGCAAGGGAGATTAGGGTTTAATCTTCAACAAATCAACTAGCAAAGGTAAGATTTCTCCCCTAATTCATGAAATTGAGACGTCATACTCATAATCCATTAGAATTTGAGTTGGATTAGGATGAAATCAAGCTTGATTGGTAGTGTTATGACATAGTATACATGAAAGAACAAAATAAAAAAGAAATGGCAAGAATGGAGCTTATATCATCACAAGCATGGAATTAACTCATGGAAATCTTGTTATACACTTGCAATCTTGTATGGTTCTTCAAATTTGAGGGGAAAACCCCATGGATTATAAGATTGGAACTTAAATATGCATGGTTTATAACTTTACACTTTAAACTCAAGAGTTTGATCTTTCACATGAGAATTTGAGTTTTGTTTTGAAGTGATGATTTTGTTTGAAGTTCAAAATGTCTAGTTCAACATATTTTTTATGAGAGTTGGGCTTTGATTTACATAAAATTGAAGTTTTTGGTTGCAAAATTCAGCTTAAACACTGAAGTAGATTTTCGGGCAGGTTTTGGCCCAAAACCGCACGTGCGGAAGGGGTTGCCGCACGTGCAGAAAATAGAGCACAGAAGACTGAACATTCTGCAAAAATTGCACGCGCAGGGGCACATGCGGTGGAGGTTCCGCACGTGCGGCCAAGACCTCCGCACGTGCAGTTTTCAGAGCAGAGTTTTGGTTTTGTTTTGTTTTCTTTTTTCGAGATTCGGGCCTCCATTTGCATGGTTTCTAAGTATATTTCAAAGTCATGTACATATCAGGAATACGAAAGAAATTAAAGAACGAATAGAAACAACCGAATGAATGAGTAACGAATAAACTGAATGAATGAATTGATTATGCTTTGAGATAATTGTGCTATGAATGTTTGTGTTTGTAGGTCAAGACTCGAAGATCAAGCAACCAGTTCTGGAAGCCCATTATGAGTAACATTACTGTAAAGACATGTTTATATGAAATACATTTGAAATGCTATTTGATATGTTATGTTTTTCGAAATATTATTTTGTTAAAGTGAACGAATATTTGATTTTGAATCTACTATGACATCCAATGAATGGTCCCAAGTCATGGGGGACAACATGTTAATACGGGTCCATGACATGTATGTGATTACGAGATCTTATTAGTCACTTGCCAAAGTGGTGATATGTTTAATCGGGTATCTCGAACTGATTATTCTAGTCGGAAGACAATACGTTCTGTTCTATTAAATGTACCATTATTATGTTCAGATATCAGAATCATTGTGATATGATCTGTTTTATGGATATGATATACTTAGAATTCGTTCATTAACCTCTTTACTTTAATATTATTCACTGAATTTTAGCTCACTGTTTGTATATATACATATATATATATATATATGTATGTATGTATGTATAGGTGAGCGTCCTGGAGATCAAGCCTAGAAAGGTTCCTTTAGCTGAGCCACCTGTTGAAACATTGCTGAGTTTTTGTTTAGTGCCTCCAAGTTGAGGCTAGGTCGAGAAGACCGTTGTATAGTTTGTGATCTTATTGCCTAGCTTTTGTCATATGTATATATGTTGATGAAAGTTTTTGATACATTATATTATGTATGTATTGTACGGTGAGTAAATTAACGTTTATATACATCTGAATTTGGGCATATAGATACACAGCTTGATGGATTATTTGTTGTCTTATTATTATAAGCTTCCGCTAGTCCCAATTAGTTTGAAGGCCTTTAATAATCTCGGATTACTAGCTGATTATGACGCTAAAAATACAAGGACGGACTTGGGTCATGACAGTACCTTAGTCGTACCCATATCTTGTTTTTTTAAGTTTTGCTATATCGGCGTATCCGTATCCGTACCCGTACCCATACCCGCACCCATGCTTCACAGAGGATTATTACACATAAAAGATTGTTAGGTTTTTATTCTTGGCAACCCCGTTTGACAAAACTCCTTTCAGATGTATTTATTTTCGCACTTTTATTTCAGTGAGACTATGAGTTTATTAGATGCGAATCTAAACCCGAATCGAACCATGCAGAGAAGTTTGTGATGTTAATGCTTTCAAGATTGCCACTTCGCTGATTATTACGGGCGGCCGAAGCAAAATGCAAAATTGCATTCAAAATTGCATGTCCGTCGTTGCTCGCTCGAGCCAAGGAATTCTCGCTCGAGCCAAGGAATGCGCGCTCGAGCCAAGGATTGCGTCCATACAAAAACCTGAAAAAGTGTATTCCTTGCTCGAGCCAAGGATCCGTCACTCGAGCCAAGGCACTAGTAGAAATCATGAAAAATACACTGCTCGCTCGAGCCAGAAAAGCTTCGCTCGAGCGAGCCTCAGAATCCGGATTTCTCAAGGAGTTTGCTTTCTTCCCAATCTAGGATTACTTTTGATTCTCTATAAATACTTGGTTTTCTCCCAAAACTAAGTGATTGATTGAAGTCCTCCAGATCTTCTTTTTGGTTCTTAAGGTTTATATCTGGGGATATTTTGTTTGTTTTCTTTGATGTTTTTATTGAGTCTTCAACTCATGATTTAAAGAGAGTACATCAAAGGTTTGTTTGTTATATACAAAAGAGAGAGTTATTCTTCAGTTGTGGATTCTGAAGAATTCGAGCCTGAAGCTTTGGTGGAATCCGGAGTGGCTCATCAGAAAGACAATTCCGTGGTGAAGATGGGGTTAGAAGAGGCACATAAAGGTTGGTTCAATTAGGCGTTGTGGATTCGCTAGGTAATTGAGAGTATACCTGTGTAATTCCTTTAATTCTTCTTAGTGGATTGTTTTGTGACTGTTGCCCGTGGTTTTTTTATCACAGTTGGAGGTGTCCAATTGTGGTTTTTCTACGAAAAATCGTTGTGTCTCTTTGTCTTAATTGTTTGATTGGGATTGTTATATTCTGCTTAAAATTGATACATAATCACAAATCAACATCAAGGGGATTTCTAGATTTTTCAAAGATAAAAACAACTAAACTGGTAGTCGAAACAGGAAATTTACATGTTTCTCTTGACTGATCAATCTAAACAATTTATCAAACCAGAAATTCGATATAAGTCCAACTTACTTTCAACACCTTATAAGACTTTTTATCAAGAAGTGCACAAATTTCATATCATAATTAGTGGTAAGCTTTATTTAAGCTTCTTGGCACACTACAGGAACTTAATCAAGACCAAAGAAAAAACTGATTTTCCGTTTGACATCCGAACCTGGTATATTTCCTGTCAGTAAAAAGTAAAAAGAATAAATCCAGCTATGACTTGTACTTTTACTGAAAAGAATAAATACTGTTATGACTTGTACTATTATTTGCTGGATAGAATTGAGATACCCATAATCTCAAAATAAAAATAATAATAAGGCCTATATTTACCAATTACAACTTCAAATCATCTTTCGCTTTCCAAGTTTCTAACTATCCAAACAGAATCTAATTATTCTGCTGCTTCCCTTTCTCAAAGGGAAAAGACTATACCCAACTAAAATTTGTAAAATTGGTATACTCACTCACTTTCTTCAATTATAAATTTATAAAATTGTATCAACTTTGGTATTCAAACAGAATCAATTACTACTAGAAAAATCAGAAGCCAATCATACCCTTTTTTTATAATTTAACGCAAAAAAAAAAAAGAAAAGAAGAAGAAGAAGTCAAATCAGTCATGAAAAAAAGAGATTGGAAGAGAAGAGAATCAAATTGGGTACCTGAGCGATCATCTTATGCTTGAGAATCTTCTCTTTGTCGAGAATCTTTATAGCCACGTTCTCTCCAGTTTCTATATTCCTTGCAAATTTCACCTTCGCGAACGTTCCTTCCCCGAGCGTACGACCCAATTCGTACCTCCCCACTCTCGTCCTGCTACTCCCACTCCCACTCGATCCCGAAGCCATTTCACTCACTCTCCAAAATTACCTGGGTGTGTATGCCTCTTTTTCTCTCTAATCTCAATTCAGAATCTCAATCCAGATCTCACAAATCTCATACTATACAAATACCATCCATTGTGTGTGTATGTGTATGTGTATGTGTATGAGTCGAAATCAAGATCTCTTCTTCTTACAAGGTTGCCAGACCTGAGACTTAGCCACATTCATCTTCTTTTTCTTTTTCTTTTTTTTTTATAGTGGGACCACAACACACATATACAATACAAACCTCCCTTGAAAACAAAATCAATACTAATTAATTAATACGGACAAACCGATGATGAGATGCTGAGATTGAGGGTGAGAGAGAAGCTCCAAACATCACTCACAATCGATGATGATGATGATGATGATGATGATGATGGTGCTAACAACTTCTCCATTGATTAGGTTGGGAAGAATAAAATTCGATTTTTTTTTTTTTTTTTTTCACATAGTTTGTCAAGGAGTTTGCTTTCTTCCCAATCTAGGATTACTTTTGATTCTCTATAAATACTTGGTTTTCTCCCAAAACTAAGTGATTGATTGAAGTCCTCCAGATCTTCTTTTTGGTTCTTAAGGTTTATATCTGGGGATATTTTGTTTGTTTTCTTTGATGTTTTTTTTTAGCACACCCCTACACATAACTACCTTGGGAAAAAAAATTGAGGTATTCGAGCCTCGAAATTTCGAGGCCTTCAGCATTTTGAAAATTAAAATAAGTTATTAAAATAGTCATTAAAAATAATTATTTTATTATAATTTTTATAAATTATTATTAAAATTTATAATTAGTGATATTTTTTATCATAAAATTTTTAAATTATCATTAAAAATTAATAATTTGTGATTTTTTTCAATAATATTTGATAAAAAATGTAATTAATTCTCACCAGATTTATTGGATAATAAATTCATTTATTGTGACTTATGCATAAGTCCCCGAATTTAAATATGTATATTTTTTCACTTTTTTTTAAAAGATGTATAAAAAAAAGTAGAAAAACGGAGTTATGAAAAGACCGGAAGACCTATGCCCCTTCACCTTTGTAATTTTTTTTTTTTTTGTATATAAAGAAAATAATTAACAAATAAAATATAAGAAAATTTGTGATAAATCTGACTTAGAGAGTGTCTAAGGCACTAAGCCAATGGATATTTTTTGTTTGTGAGAAATCCATACTTTGTCAAATAGTTTGGTGAGAGTAGTGTAAGATATTTTGTTTTCAATTTTACCCCTAGACTTTTTTTTTATCTGTTTGACTATTTGTTCAAATTTTTTCCCTATCTGTTCAAATTTTTTTCTATCTGTTCAAATTGTTTTCTATTTGTTTAATTTTTTTCCTATCTGTTCAAATTTTTCTCTATTTGTTCAATTTTTTTCCTATCTGTTCAAATTTTTTTTCTATTTGTGTCAAATTTTGAACTGATCTATCCTATCTGTAGATTTTTTTTTAAATCTATTGCAATGTGTTTCTTCATCATCATCATCAGCAACAAAACAAACAAAAAAAATATATGTTTGAATAGATTTGGAGAGATCTGTAGATACAACCAACAACTACAAAAGAAAAAAAAAATAGAAATTTTAAACAATCTAGAGATAGATCTTTAGATGTTTGTGTCTCTCTCTCTAGCGATGTCTCTTTCTAAAATTTTGGAAGAGGAGCCTTTTCTAGTAGGGTATCGATTTCGCCCTACCGACGAAGAACTCATCAATCACTATTTGAAGTTGAAGATCGATAGCGATGATAAGCAAGTCAATAACCCTGGGATTTACCTAGTAAACTACCCACAAAAAAAATAATATTTGGGGATTTTTGTTTTAATTATTGATATATGCTTGATTAAAAAGCCCTGATTTCAGGAAAGATAAATACATATATACGGAGACGGAGACAATGGGGTGGTCAAGGATGATTATGGTGATGGAGAACTCGAGGACGATGGAGGTAGCAATGATGGGGTCATCAATGTCCTGATAAGCAGCAGAAGTCACCGACTTGGAACAAGACAGTGAAGGAGGAGACGAGGCTGGCGACAACGGTATTGGCCAGTAATGGAAACGGGGTAAAGGTCGATGGAACTAGAGTCGACGATAAAGGCAATCTAAAGAGAGAGGAAGAGAGAAAGAGGGGATCGGTTTTGATATATCGAGGGTATTTTGGTCATTTGACTTAAACTTGTCCTTATAGACAAGTTAATTCAGCATGCGGACCTCTCACCAAATAAAATTTAAAATTGGATTTTTGAGCCGAACACCCATAAAATATTTATATAGAAATTACATTTAAAATGATTTCTAAATTACAAAATCAAAAAATAATATTTAAAATGATTTCTAAATTACGAAATCAATGATAATGGTTGTTTATATCGTTTATATCATCTAAACATTTAAAATGATGGTTGTTTATAACATTTGAAATGGTTTCTAAATTACGAAATCAAAAAATAATATTTAAAATAATATCTAAATTACAAAATCAATGATAATGGTTGTTTATATCGTTGATATCATTTAAACATTTAGGGTAAATTACAAACACCCTTCTCGAGATTTGGTGAAAATACATATTCCCTTTGAGGTTTGAGAAATTACATCACACCCTGTGAGGTTTATATTTTCATAACAAATTGCCACATGAGGTTTTTATTTTCATACAGATTTCCCCCTAATTTTCCCTAATTTGTTATGAAAATTTGACCCTCAGGGGGTAATTTGTAATTTCTCAAATTTCAGGAAGAATCTATATTTTTACCAAACCTCGAGGGGTGTTCGTAATTTGCCCAAACATTTAAAATGATGGTTGTTTATATCATTTAAACATTTAAAATGATGGTTGTTTATAACATTTAAATTGATTTTAAATGGTTTCTAAATTACGAAATCAAAGAATAATATTTAAAATGATTTCTACATTACGAAATCAATGACGATTGTTGTTTTTATCGTTCATATCGTTTAGACATTTAAAATGACGATGGTTGTTTATATCGTTTAAACATTTAAACATTTAAAATGAAGGTTTTCTAAATTACGAAATCAATTAGTGTGTTTGGTTTTAATTTTTTAAAAATTGAGTTTTTTATTTTTTGTTTTTTTTTTTGTTTTTAGTAAATATTTTAAAATTTTCAAGTAAATTTTTTTGTACTTTATTAGATGCACCTTATTTAGATGTATCTAAATAGTAAAATATTTGTAAAAAACTATATTAAAAAATTAATAAATACACAAAAATATATTGAATTTTTTTTTTTGTATTTTTGGTAATTAGATAATTTTTTAAAGATTTTTTTCACAAATATTATACTTTTAATTATGTTTTATGTGGTGTCTAAAAATTAAAAAAATTAAGTGAAAATAAAAAAATACGAAAAATGAAAAAGTAAAATTTTCTGAAAAGTGAATTCTAAAAACTGAAACCAAACAGAATGAGTAATTTCTAAAATATTTATATAGAAATAACATTTTTTGGTATTTTTTAAATTACAAAAATAATGATGATTGAAAATGAAAAAAAATCACAAGAAGTTACATCATTATGTATGAAAATTTCATAACAAAAAATTCAATGCAACTGTAATACAAAATCATCACTTACATGTAAACAAAGTCAACCTCACTATGAAAATGTGGAATTATTGAATTGTTAATTATATTTGACAAGTGAGATTAACCTTCTATGTATTATTTTACTATTGATTAGTGATATCATATATTGATAATGATATGGTATAATATACTAGCTCTATAGTAATACCGTATTTCTACTTTTGATTTTTCACAAGTCAATTTTATAAAAAAAAAAAAAAAAAAACTTTTATATTAAATGTTTAAGATTTCTTGCTTAATATTAATTTTAAAAAATTAATATCTATTATTATTGATTATAAGAAAAAAAAAATTGAAATTTTAATTAATAAGTGCTCATTTTGAATTATTTTTTTGGCTCTGCCACTGTAGAGAGGTAGTGTGACTCAAAAAAGATAAAATAATAAATAAGTTCACTTTTTTAATGAGTTAATTACCTAAAAGTCTTATTTGCAAATGTTCTGTTAGCTCTGGTCCTATGTAAGATTTTTTGAAACAATAAGTCTTAGGCTTGGTTTGGGGTACACTAAATAATACAAAAAGTCAAAAAGTCACTATCCTATTTAAGTCCCATCATCTTATTTAAATCACATCACCTCTCTAACACATCACATCAAACCCAACCCATATAAGCCAATAAGTCAAAAAGTACACTTTTTTAGAACATCCCAAACCAACCCTTATTTAGTAAAACTAAGAATTTAGTAGTTTTTTTTCAATTTTTAAAACTAAAAATATTATCAATTTTACATAATAATATTCTAAATAATTGTTTCACTAACTAAGGGAAAAAAAAACAGAGCATAAGATTAAACGTTTTTGCCATTTTACTTATTGGTTTGATTCAATTATCCAATAAAACTGAGAACATTATCAGTTTTTTCCAGCTTTAAAACTAAGAATATTATCAGTTTTTTCATTTTTAAATTTTTGCACATCAATGTTCCATCATCATACTCCTTTATAGATACAAAATTTTCAGTTCTGCACAAAAAAAAGTTCAGTTTTTTCAATTTTTTGCACATAATTTTTTTTTTTTTTAGTTTTTTCAATTTGAAAGTTTAATGTTTTAAAATTTTGAAAATCAAAATAAATATCAAATCATTATATTCTTTTATAGATAATCATAAATGATGAATAATTATTGTTTGAAGTACAATTCCAACTATTAAAAATTTAATGGGATTTGAATGTTTAAAAAATTTTAATTAGGATTTAATGGAATAAAAGTTCATAAATTATGACTTGCATGTAAATACCTTATTTTTTTAATTCATACCAAACAAGTTCTAAGTCAAGAAAGTCAATAAGATGGGAGTGTTTTGGAAAGTTAATTAAAAATTAATTTTTGATTTTTTTTTTTGATTTTTTATGAGTAAAAAATATGAAAGGTGATATAATCTAAACTGAATTACAAGTCAAAAGTTAATTTTTAATTAACTTCTCAAATGAGATGTTAAATCTTTTTAATCAAACTAAAATAATTAAAAAATCACCCAACTCAATTAACAGTTCTTAGGCGTATATCTCGTTATGGGTACGTACGTCTATGAAAGCCGTGAATGCTGAATCTCCACAGATTTGACTGCAAAAGGGTTTTCAATTTAATAATTGGGGAGGTAAGATTTTAGCTAAAATAATTAATAAAGATAAAAAAAATTAAAAATAAGATAAAAGGATATTTGAGAAGTAGGTTAGAGGTTTAAAAAGTCAATAAAGATAAAATAGAAAATAAGATAAAAGGATATTTGAGAAGTAGGTTAGAGGTTTAAAAGTTAATAAAGATAAAATAGATTAAAATAAAATATCATATTAAAACTATAATCATTTTATTATTTCTCTCACAATAATCAAATTAAATA